TGAATTTTTAATATCATGATGTTTGCATGGGTATGATTTATAAGCATCCTACTGATTTAGATTGTTTGGACTAAAAGCAGTTATTTATTTGGCAGATATGGGGAGAAAAAGTTCAAACTCACTTTCTAAAATCTCATCTTTTCATAATTTGCATAGCAAAGACAATTCTTTCTGAGACACTCCCTTGTCCCGTTGATATTCAGATCATAGCTACAGTTATACAAAATTTGCAGTCAAGATTTTGCATAAAGTTTTTTGTTTGTTTTTTTTATGCTAAGCTTCTTGATGGATTCTTTTCTTCATACATGAGAAGATTCGTTATAAAGCAAAGACTTCAGATTGTAACCCTTATTTTCTTTTGTTTTGAGCCTGTGGTCAAGGTCATTATAAAGCCCTTTGAGGTCAAGGTCAGATGACTTAGAGCAATAATTAAGGCATGAGAAACACTGTCCTGTATATTTCCAATATCTAATAACTTCACTTTCATACAGATGTTTGTTCATAAATTGGCATATGTATGAAAAATCAGCAAAATAAGATCATACTTTATAAAATAAAATAATCAACCTTAAAAAACTTTTTTAACAAATTTTTTTTGTTCATGCTTAAAAATCCTAATGTCTCAAAAAAACACAGTTAACTCTACAATATGAATAACAGTCTTCATACATTTTAACACAAAAATTTCCTAAGTGTGCTTATAGTAATATCTGTACAATTTTTACACTACTATATAAAGAAATTCTCCAAGTGTACAAATGAGTACATGTACATGTTTATTACAATGTTCCTAAAATGTGTAGACTGTTAATAGGCAGTTTCAGGAAAAACTGGTAGACAAAAAATTAACAATTTAAATCACACATGGGTGTATACTTCTTGCTTTACTGTTTATTAGATTGTTAAATTGTTACAGTATTAAGCTAAAAAAATTGTATCTTAAAAATAAACCTTTAAAATACATGCCAACCCAGTAGTGTCAATCTCATTGTGGCACATGAGTAGTTTTTCAAATTGAGGCTTATCACATTTGATCTTGAGTTAATTTGTCAATTAGGGTGACTGTTTTACATAATTTGATGCAACTGAATCAGGAATGCGGATATTTAGTATGTACATTTAATTTCCCATGCATGTCTAATTACTGATATTCATTTCTCTAGGACAAGGACCTTTTGTTGTAATATTATAACATCTTCTAATTCAGAGTTTTATTTTTAGCTGCAGGTGTTTCTGATCTGACAGATGGTACATAAATCTTTATTATGGTTTTTTGTTTTTTACTTTTTCTTTACACTTTATTTGTGGATAGAAAAGTCAGAGAAATGAGATCCAGAGAGACAGGTGGACAGAGAACAAAAAGAGACAGAGATAAGAAAAAGAACAGCAAATTTACTTAGATGTCCAACATAATGATGGAGAGATGGATGTAGGGTTACAGAGAAATGGACAATAATGCATTAGTTTGGGTTCATAACTCCTTACAGCATTATGTACCAAACTGCAGTATTGCAGTAATAATAGAAAATTTGATGATGATATTTGTGTCTGTGTTGGAGGTTGGAAATTGGGGACAAACAGATGTAGAGTTAAGCAAACCACAGCATGGCAAGAATTGTGGAAAATTTGAAGTTTGTGTGTATGAGTGTTTTGGTTTTGGTGGGAGTAAACAAAATGTCTGATATATGTATGTCATTAAATAATCATAATAATTAAAAATTTAAATAAATAATTTAATGATTAGTAAATAAAGTATATTACCTAACACTTTTATATCACCTTATTTCAGAAACTTAACTGAATTGTTTTCTGTCAGCTTGTCTAATATTTTGAGTAGTGTCAAGGGAAATGGGACATCTTGGTTTAGTAGTGCCAAGGAAAATGGGACGTCTTGGTTGAGTAGTGTCAAGGAAAATGGGACATCTTGGTTGAGTAGTGTCAAGAAAATGGGACATCTTGGTTGAGTGGAGTCAAGGAAAATGGAATATCTTGGTTGAGTAATGTCAAGAAAAATGGGACATCTTGGAGGGAAAACTGAGAAAAATAATGCAACCATTATTTGTGCAAGTTTGATGAGTTGGGGGTTAACTTGTTTGACTGCTTTTATTTAGCCATGTCATATTAGAGAGAAAATGTGTTACCCTTGTCTGCCCATCATCACTGCTTTCATTACTGCTCAAGGACGTAATGGATTAAAATAAAATTAGATATGAGGATATTCATGAAACCTACATTAGTGGGAAAGTGAGGCATAGTGCTTATTTTCAAGAAGTGATGGCATTGTTGTCAATAGTTTATGGTTTTTAGCTTTTTGTCATTAGTTTAAGGTTTTTGTTATGTTTACATTTTCTTTTGATTTTTGGCCAAAGTTTTCATTAATATTTTGATGGTGAGCCCAAAACTGCTAGTATTTATTAGAAGATCTATTTTGAAATTTGATTTGTACCCATTATTTATTATTGAAAACTTAGAGTTATGGCCCCTGTTTGACTTTGGCAGTTTTCTAGTAAGTCACAAATTCTGTTCAATTCAGTTACTTTTAAAGGATGTCATGGATTAAAGCCAAACTTGGTACAAGACTTAATGTTGAATTAACTTTGTTGAAGATGATTTCTCATCTGTTTCTGTCAGAAGTCTGAGTCATGGCCATTGTTGGACTTTAAAGTTTTGTATTTCCTGTATTATCCTTATCTGTTCTAACTTTTTAAGGACTTGATGGATTGAAACCAAGCTTGATATAATTGAAAAGATTCCAACTATATTTGAGTACTCACCTATTTCTGTAAAAAGTTACAAAGTTAAGGCCCCTGTTTGATAATATATTTCTGATCTTGAATCAGTAAAATATTAAAATAGAGACAAATAAGTCCAACATACAATTATATTTTTATAAAGGATATACAACGTATCAATTTTTTAATTAACATTGTATACAATGTTATATAGTGCCTTGGTATTAAGGCCATTAGGATACAAAGTATCTAATTTAGGAATCCAATAACTTTCTTTTATAAGTATATTCATGTCTCCATGCACAATATCTATTGGCATGAAATAAAACTGAGTAGAGAGTGATTACTGGTATTATAATGTATTGAAATATTAGAGAAGAACTGAGGATATCTAATTTTCATAAGAAAGTGATGATTATTCATTCTCTTAAAAATGAATTGCAGTGTTTGTCAAACATATTTCATGTTACATTTTTTTTGCAGGTTTTTAAATAAATCACATCAGTTGATTCACAGTGATATAACTGAGAGAAAATACTTTTTTATTGGCACTACTAAAAGAAGTACTTTCTCTTCTATTTGCACATTGATAGCAACAATATCGGTTACATTTAGATGACAGTTTTTGTCTTTTTTATTTTCTGTCTGTTTAGTTCTAATTAAAAAATTGTGCAAATTCTTGGGTCTTCTATAAGCAAGAATTTGTTTATTTTCATAAAGTGTTTTTATGCTGGGGGGTATCATGAATTCCATTTTTACTTACTGTACTTATTCACTTTTTAAAGGACTTTATGGACAGAAGTATTGCTGCAAATTAAGCATGGGGTTCTGGGTTTTCTGCAAATTTTTGTCATGTCTCTTGCAAATCTTGACCTGTGTGCCACCCAATCTGAATATACTTTCTTTTTTCTTTAGTTCACTCCGACAGTAGCCAGTGTCACAACAGGTGATAAAAACTGAGCTGGCAGTTGATATCCATTTTAAAACTTCATATTTTGGAGCCAAAATGCTCAAGATTTGTGGTAGTAGTTGTTGCTGTTGTTCTGGGGCTTAACACCATTTTTCAACACATGATAGGCTATACATGATAGCCAGTATTCATGGTGGAAGAAAAAGCTGGGAAATCTGCGGAAAGAACTACAGACCCATGAGAAGCTACTGGCAAGCTTTCTCACATATCCACATTCACCGAATCTTAGACTCAAACCCACGCAGAAAGAGGTGAGATGGTAGTGATCCATAATGGACAGCACTTGAAATCACTTTGACACTCAGAGCCCCCATTTGTGGTAGTATGATGGGTCATAATATAAAATTTTTAAAAGCAGCTAGTGTAACATAATTCTGAGGCTGAAAGCACACATTCAGCAATGGAAATTTGTTTTGATATTGAATTGCTAATAATAACAAAATGGACTGTATTTCTACAGATACACACAGTGTCATTTATTCAATGAATTATTACTTTGAAATGAAAAGTAATTCAGAAAAATATGGGAATTATATTAAATGCTGCAAAATAATGAGTGTACCCTAAAATTAAATGAGAGCACAATCCAGAACAGAAAATTTCATGGCACAGGTCATTTCAGTCTACGCAAATAATTCAACACGTTAATACTTTCAAGAGTTACTTGAGCATCCAGTAAAATGTTTATTACAATAATGTAAGTGTCCAAGGAAAAGATTATAGGACAGCAGATGACAAATTAGGTAGCAAAGCAAAAAAGATTATCATATTTTGTTTATCTCAAGTGCATGAAGTACACTATTACCAATTTTTTAGAGGATCGTGAACAAAAAAAATGTCGTCTGCCCTTACAATCAACACTGGACAGAAACCAAGTTTAATTTACATGCTAAAAGACTTCAGCCAATTTCATTTACACTTATTTCTATAAAAAGTTGACAGATTAAAGGCATGGTACACCTCAAAGCAAAGCTTTCTTCATTTGCATTTTATTGATGTTGCATTTTACAGTGAGGACTCCTTTAAATCGCCCTGCCCTGCCTCCACAGCCCTCCCTTTTCCCCCCATGGATTATTGCTTATACTCACTTGTAAATACTGCAAATACATCAACCCTGATCGTTTATTGCATTCTGCACCAGCAGATCAGAGTCTGTGTTGTTGGTTATACTGATTGCCCTTACAAACTGCACTTGCAGATATGGATTGTACTTGGATCAAACTTGTAGCAAGTATGGACAATAATGAAATTTTCTCAACGACGAATTTCTTAATGAAGTTCATTCATGTACAGATGACAACTCTGGTGGCCTAGTGGTTAGAGCATCCACCTCGGATGTGGGGAGGTTGCGGGTTCAAACCCTGGTTGAGTCGTACCAAAGACTTTAAAAAATTGTACTAAACAACTGCCTCGTTTGGCGCTCAGCATTAAGAGGTTTGTGTTAGGACTGGTCAGCCTGCAGTCAGTATAATGTGACTGGGTGGGACAACCTACCACATGTCTGCGGCATGATGCCCCAGTGCTGGACATCACTATAAACTGTCACACTGCAGACATCATAGTGATATGATTGAAAAATTTTCATACATGTCATTTTACACCATGACATTGGAAAAATTATTTCCCTAATGTTTTTCTACTGTAAAGAGCCTCTAAAAATTCAGCAGCGTTCACCAGGTAACTCTTGTCTTGTCAGCTGCAAAGTTTTGTTATTACACTCTATGAATATTCCCTAACAAACAAAGACATGATAGCTTGTATTACTGATGGATTTGTAATAGAAATTGGCAGTTAAACTCTACTTTGTTTCAATCAAGTCATTTAGATCCCGTCTACTTCATGTCATTTTTGGCTTGAAGATCTGCTTATGAATGATATTTAGTATATTTATCCTTGATGTGACAGCTTAATTATGAAAAATGTGAGGAGAAAAAAATTAATTCTTGGATCAGTCTTGAGCCTATCCATCTTTTATATCAACATGGAATTTTTACCAAAAGATATCTTATGATGTCTAGTTAGTGCCTAAATGAAAATGACACCAAACTGATGCCTAAATGAAAATGACACCAAACTGATGCCTAAATGAAAATGACACCAAACTGATGCCCAATATGGCTACCACAGCATATGTGTTAAATTAAAATGCTACAAAGCTGATGTCCAGTATGTGTACGACTGCAACCGATTTCAAAAGTTTGTTGTCACTGAATAAGATTATAGTTTAAACACTGGGCAGTTAAAAGGAAAAAAAATGGCCTTAGCTTGAATTCCAGGAGAAAAAAAAAATTCCCAATGGAAAGTCAGCCCCTGTGGGATTTTTGTTTTACCTATCTTGAGATTTGAGTTGTGAAAAATTGTGTTCCATGGTTTTTCTGAATGTATTGTGATAGATACCATAGGATACTGCAATTTGGGATCAACAATTCAATGTTCTTTGGCAGAGACCTGACATTTTTTTTTTTTTTGGTCAAATTTCTGTCTCAATAGTCAAAATATATTCTTCTCAGATTTATAGCAGAATAACACCATAATATGCCTATAATATTATTTAGAGAAAAATATTAATTATCTTGAGATAAAATAAAAGGAAATATGTCAACTCAAAAGATAATCAAAGTCCTGCCACACCGAATTCCAATCATATTTCACTCCATCATGATAAATTAGCATATATTATCACTAAATAGACAGATTCAACTGAGATCAGCATATATTAATGAGAAGGCCTTGTATCTGGTTCATTGTATTTCTGGATCTTAAGATAATATTTCTGATGCACTTTCTGTCAAAATTGGTAAATGGTATCAAGATCTTGGATGAATTTGCTTATGAGCAAGAAATTATGCATATTAGTGTTTTTTTACAAGACTATAAGCTTGATTAGTAAAATGGTCAACTGATATATAAGCCAAGTGAGTGATTAAAGTCCACTTTGGACTCTTGTTGAATAATTAAAAAGAAAATGGCTCATACTTGCAGGTTTATGCACTTATGAATATTAATGTTTATACCTGTGAATAAGTGGAGCCCAACTGCAAGGAACATAGTCCCTGATCTGCCATTGCATAATGCACCTGCAGATCAGGGTCTGCATTGTTTGTTCTACTGATTGCATATACCAAGGTCTGTTAATGCATTATGTGATGGAAGATTAGAGATTGTGCAGTTTGCAGTTGGACTTTAATTGTCCTATAAACAAGTATAATGGTATAAATTTTCAAATAGAGTAACTTCTAAAATGTTGGTTTTTAACATTTTTTTAAATTTTTTCATTTGCAGAACAAATCATGATGTTCATCGTTTCATGTGTGCCTAATGATGAGGCGACTATTGCCTGCTGAAGAGGATGACAATCCTACTACAAAAGTTCATGGCAGAAGTGTCACCATTCAACAAGTGATAATGATGGGCGCAGGTGGGCAGAAATCATCACAGGAGTTCAAAGCTGACATTGGTCAATCAGAGTTTCATGATTCAGTGCTTTTAGAAGAATTACAACCATCCAGAATGGCAAGGATGGAGTTCCATTTGCCTAGATCTGGATGTCAATTTGAAAGTCGACATCATGGTTTTGAAAGCACAAGGCAACCAGAGTTTGAGAGTTTACGATGCAACTTTGGGAGAGCTCATGTAAGTGTAGAGGGGCAAGTTCAGCCCCCATTTGGGACCATTTCCCAAAGCATTGAAGGTTTAAAAAGAAATTTTGAGCATGAAGAACTTCAGAAAGAAAGTGCCTTATCTAGTTTTGGAGATAGTGAATTTCGACAATTTTTTAGCAGGGGATTTAATTCAGAAAGTGGTCGAACAGGGATTAGTGAAACTAGTAAAGGACACAGTTTTGAAAGTGCCCAAAGATCACATGATGTACCTTTACTTGAGAAAAGGCGACATAGTTTTGGCCCTGGAGGAGAGGTGGCTTCAAAAATGTACAGAGATTTGGAATCAGCAGGTGACAATCTGGGGGGGGACAAAATGGGCTCTGGAGATGACCTTCGACCAACTCTCCGTAAACAAATTGCAATAGATATAGAGGATCCCTCAAGAATTGAAGCCTCCAGAAGTCCTGATATTGTGACAAGTACTAACATTAACAAAAGTAAGATGAAAGATAATAATAGGCAAGTTTTGACTTTCCAGAGGAGAGAGGAAAGGCTTACTGTGATAAAAAGAGTTCATGACATGAGTTCTCCTAGTGTTTCTTTTCAAAGTAGAATAGAATCATATGATGAAACCCAAAAAGGAAGAGTCTCGTCTCTTGAGCAGTCATATTCCAAAGAAGACAGTTTTGAATCTAGCGTGGTTTCAGGTGATAATTCCGAGTGTGCAATCTCTCCACGATATAGATCTCATTTACACCTCTCTCAGGAGTCAATTCGTTTGACACCACGTCTTTCAGATTTAAGTGGAACAACATCCGAGGACAGTCACAGTCCAGGCTCTAGCAGTCGTGAACCATCTCCATATAATAGGGATCGGATACTGAGCCAAATGTTTATAAAAGGGGAGACCACCCCTGACAGATTAGAACTTAATAAGCAAAGCTCTTCTGGTTCTGAAGGTACATTCCCAGAATACTGTGCAAATATTGTTATCACTCCAGATGCAGGGGAAAACTTAAGTTGTAAACCAGGACTTGAAGGGTCAGAACATGAAACATCAGAAGATGAGAAAAGTCGAAAATTACTTCATCCTGGTCATTTTAAGAAGCATTTGCATGCAAGATATTTGTCAAGTTTGCGTAATCGTAATTCCTCATCATCTACAGACACATCTCAAGAACACTGCTCACAGGAAGTATCTATCGAATCATTGGGTGGTTCAAGTATTGAAGTTTTTGAATCGGTGGATGAGTCAAAGGAAGTTCCTCAGGAAGAAACTAAGGAAGAGCCACAAGAAGCAAAAGATGATGACTTGATATTCGGTCCAGCTTTTAAACCTTCTCCACGTTCGCATCTTCACTCTCATATCAGGCAGTCAGATCAGCCTCTTGATCTCTCTCATGGAATAGACCCACCAGGTGTAGTTGGGCGACTGGGACCAGCGGGCTTCAGTGAATCTGAGGTCATGAGTCCTTCTAGCACAAAACAATTCTCACCCTCATCAACATTTTTTCACCGCAGTCTTTTGCAGCACCAGTACATGCCTTCTCCTCAGACTTCCCCACTATGCTCAGTGCCAGAAGGAGGAAGAATTTTCAACTTCAATCTACCAAGCCCATTTGAAGGTGCTCATTCAGATCCTGAAATCTTCTCCCCAAGTCCAATTTCACCAGGTTTGCACTTCACGTTTCCACCTCGAGCATCTTTGCTAAGTTCTATGTCGGAGTTAAACAGGTTAGCTGTTTCTCCGCGAGCCTATTATCCTAGTCAGCCATTGCAGCTTTCACCATTATCAAAACAAGCATATATGCCTATGGGAAAATATGAAATGTCGAATCGCTCTGAATGCAAGGAAAGAAGGGCTTTCTCTGATTCAGATGCTTACTTGTGTCCAGTTTGTGGGCAGGTGTTCCCTTCATATGACAATCTCGCAAAACATATGGCAAAACATTTACCCACAGAAACAATTAGATCTGGTGATAACAATAAAATACATTATTGTAAAGTGTGTAATCGTTCCTTCTCACGTAGCGATATGCTAACTCGACATATGAGGCTTCATACAGGATTAAAACCTTATGAATGTTCTGACTGCGGTCAAGTGTTTAGTCGTAGTGATCATTTAAACACACACAAAAGGACCCACACTGGAGAAAAACCATATAGATGTCCACAGTGCCCATATGCCGCGTGTAGACGAGACATGATTACTCGACATATGAGGACCCATTTAAAACGCTCTGCAAAACGTGGAAAATTTTTATCAGTGCCTGCGAGAGAAAACAACGAAATTCGAAAAGGTTCTGTGTCAAGCACTGACACGACAGACTCGCAAGAGCTGTCAAGTCGAACTTATTCAGCATCAAGCGTTGATAGCTTGGAATTAGAAGCTAACCCACGATCACGTTCTTTACATAGCATGGATAGTTCAGAATCAGAAGTGCTGGTAATGTTAACTACCAAATCTCGTAACTGGTCCTCAACAAGTACGGAAAGTACGGTTTTTGAAGAACAGAAGCCAGGATTTCCATCCTCCACCTCTTATGAAAGTAGAACAGTAGAATCCATGTCTTTTAGACAATCACGAAATTGGTCAACAGCAAGCTTTGAAAGTGCAGAGTCTGAGGACCATAGTTCTCATCAGGACTGTGAAGATACAATATTTGATAAAGAAAAGTCCTACACAGACATAGAAAATCGTTCTCAGCTTGATAGTTTTTCAATTGACGCTGAATGCATAGAGAAGATTTCAATAAGTTCTCAACGACGGT